TTCGAACGGCTTATAAAAGAGTTCCATAAAAGTTCACCGCTTGATATTTCTAAACGGTTGTATAATTTACAAGAAACACGTAAATTGAATTTATTTTTTTATTACAGCTGCACAGGTAGAATCGCGGGAAAACGCTAGTATATTCTACCAAAGAGATTATGATTTTACGCATGGCGTACTTTATAGTAATAAATTATATTATACTAGCGGCTCACGCTGACTTCGCTCGGGTTCGTCCTTCGATTAGGTTATAATGTGTTTTCCCGTGGGAATGAAATAATCTCCCGCGGTAAAAAGTAGACTATGTGATTTTATTCCCCTGCCCTCCAACTATCTCCACATAAAAAAAGGCCAATCCGTCACTCTCTTTCGACATGAAAAAGGCCAAACTAAAAAAAACACACTAAATAACAAACAAACAAACAAACAAACACGCTTTCATGTTTATAATATCAGTATGGATTTGTTGAAGTCGATAGCTATATTCTGTGTTACATACTGGAAAATTGTCTGTTCTGACCTTTATAGCAACTACAGAGAGCACATTAGAAATTCTGACGTTGTTATGTAACTGAAGGCTTCATTTACGTTATACGTCCATTTGATGCACAGTGAATTTTATTTCAAAGACATATTACATTACACGAGTAATATTGAGTTGAAAATAAATAATAAGATAAAATCACACTAATAATTGCTTTACTTTTGACGACACGTTTGTCTCAGTTTGTAGTGACCCTTCTTGCTACGCTAACAGTCGCGGGTTCGAGTCCCGCTGGAGGCATTCGTTCCTTTTTATTCCAGTCATGATTGGTTATTTATATTTATAATATGTATATATTAAAAAATATATTTGTGTAGACTTATATATGTATTAAAAATTATATAACTACTCTTTTTAAATGCGCATAATATACATATTTTGTTCATGCGTGTTCAGTATTGGAATGAAGCAACCCAATATGCCCAAATATTTCTAAAAGAAAAAGCAAAAAAATATCTTTCAATCAAACCATGGTCCGTAGCATCGGACAGATTATTTTCCACTGCTGGATTAATTCATACTGAAAAAAGGAACAGAGTTACGCCCGACAAGCTTTAAATATTATGTTTCTGAACAAAAATTTAAAATTCGTTAATTTGATATGATTCATTTTGATATATATATATTTAAATGTGATAGTACCTAATTATATCGTGACTTATCGATTCAAATTAAAATCTAACGCAAAGCTGTGGGCAAAATCTAGTATAATTAAGCAAATTCAAAAATAAACTTGTGTAAATAAAATGGTTCAATTAACTTCTTCGTTTTGTTTAATTTACGTGATTTAACCGAATTTTTTTATTCATTATTTCTTTTTCTGTAGGTTTGATTTTTACGATTCCATATAAAGAAATGGTCCGTATATAAAACTCTTTTGAATGCACTACGTGCCAACCCTGGGGACAGACTTTTGTATCTTTGGGCCAATTTACCCATTCTTTTTTTCGTGATTCATTTTTTAAAGAATGCAATATAATAGCTAAGATATATTTTGCGTTCGGCGATACGTTCGGCGAAGGTGAAAATCGTAAAGAAATGTATGTATGAGAGAGCAAATTTTTGAAAAAAGTCATATAAAGTGCGCCAAACTGCACTTGGCCAGCGTACCACGGCTTGAATTAGAGAGGGCTCAAGTTCAAGGGAGGTATTGAAAAGATATAAAACGCCGTACTACTACAAGTTTTAATGAATACCTTATAAGCAAGCTGCACGAACATTTTAATTGAAATATAAGCAAAAATTTTTGAGAGAGCTTATGTAAGTATTTCTATTAATTGAGAAAAACCGAGACATATAGGCGCGTACTACAACCAAATCTTCGTGCTCTTGTTATGTTATAAATATTTATCCTAAGAACGTGCTCGGGACTTGATCACTTGTCTTTAGGTATCAGTTAATTTAGTTCATAATAATAAATAATTATACTATATAACAGCAAAATAGGTAGTAGCGTTTGGATTAGATCTAAAAATAGAGCTCAATAGCGTCGCAATAGGACAGGCATATGTCCACTGAAAACGGGCTGATAATGATGATGATTTCAACAGTGTTGTAATTTATAAATCATTGATCTAAATAGAGCACAAATGTCAGTAGAAATTATGAGGCAGTTTATTCCACTAAATGTAACTATGTTAAAACAAATGTGCTAACGTTTTTCAAAAAAGGGAAAAGTTTATTTAATACAACACAAACTTCCTATGAATTGAAAATTACAAAAAATCTATACATATAATAAAATTGTAACTAGGCCGAATCTGTACATTAAATAATATTTGGAAAATCTTATTGAAATAGACATTATTATCGATACAGAGGCCGCATCTATAGTTTTTAGAATTTTCGTCTGTCTGTCTGTCTGTTACCGCATCACGGAAAAACCACTGAATGGACTTTTAAGAAATTTGGTATGAAGATAGCTGGTTATCCGGGTCAACATATAGGATACTTTTTACCGCGGGGAAATGTCTCATTTCTGAGAAAAAATACAAAAACTGCAATGTAAGAGTATATTAATATGTAAAACGTAAGAATTTGGCTTTTGGTAATCTAAATGCGGGCGGAGCCGTGGGCAATGCTAGTATTATATATGATATTCTTCTTCTTCTGGAACTTCTGGATATTTTGTTTACTCATAAATTACTGAACGGCTTTATTGATTGCCCCAAATTGCTAAATAAATTTAGCCTAAGAGTTCCAGTAAGAATACCACGTAAGCCTATTGCTCCACTTTGTCCTCCACTTCGCCGAACGATCCTAGGTGCCAATTCCCCAGTCCCACGGTTATGTAAGACTCTAAATTCTTATAGCATAGATGTCGACATATTTGCTGATTCCTTAGCCAATTTCCGCAAAACCATTAGCAACAAATTCTTAAATAAATGCATTGATAGTCTTAAATAATGTTATAATTGCTAAATTAATGTAACTGTGTATCTGCTCATTGATTAATAAAAAAAAAACTATTTACTTCTAAAATATATCTATTTTGTATAATATTTTAAGAAACTTTATTTTTGGGCTTGCTGTGTTTATTTGTAAGTAATCACTACATTTAGTTCCTAATTTTTAGTTGTATTTTTTTTTATATTGTGTGTATTATTGTAAGTGATTGTAAATAAACCTAATAAATAAATAAATAAATAAAAAATATTAATTTTTAATGTTTATTGATTACTAATTCATATAATATGTATAATGTATAATTCTTTATTGTTATGAAAACGTTAGTTTTGCTCTTCTCTGATATAACAAAGGAGGACGTATATATTTACATAGCTGGCTTATAAGACGCAGAATCACATATCATTCTTATTATTCCAGTATATTGAATAAATCCAACAGTTTATTTAAATTCAGTGGCTATTATATTACTACCTTCTTTTCTTTTTTTTTTAATACTTGAAAATGCATTTACACATCCCACCTGCACACATACAGGTGGTTATGTAGGACTCTATCGCTAGAAAAGTCAAGTCAGTAATGCCCACTAAAACCAAACTAAACCTCCCCCGTCTTAATGGGTCATCGCATGGGCTCCAACGGAAACAGACCACACAACCAAGGAGTTGCTCCCACTCGGTCCACTCTGCTGTCAAAGAAGTACCAGGAGCAACCCGCATGGTACACCGCCCACCAAATATCTCTCCCTCGCGCTCGACTCGGTTGCAGAAAGCTAATGAGCCCCCCGCTACGACAGGATAAACACACATCGGAGTGGTTATAATACTACCTAATCCAACGGCTTTTATCTTGTCCAAACTGCAATAAACTTGCTAGCGATACTTGTGTTAACAAAAAATCAATAGAAACAAAAATATTTTTTTTTAAGTTTTCAGTTTGTCGGGAAATCACAATTTTTCTCCTTAATTCTTTTAGGACAATCAAAGTCAATTTTCCTAATGATTATTAAAATAAATGCGAATATTTTAAAATATAAATAGGGTGTATCAATTCAGCCATCCTTAAATGATGCGCTCACCAGCGTGAAGCATTTTATTTTTGAATATATGTATAGATAATAAATAAATAAATATTTTGGGACATTAACACATATTACCATTTAATACGATGGTAAGCTACGAGGCTTGTGTTATGACTACAAAATAGTTGATATACCACACATATATAACTTTAAATACATACTTATTTTAAATATATCATCACACAAATGAATGATCCCAGCGGGATTCGAACTCGCGACTTCTTTCACAGTAAGTAGGGTCACCAAAAACAGAGCCAAACACAGTATTATGATATTATGTTTCATTTAACAAAAGTGGTATTAGTATTAGTGGTATTCTAAGTTTTATATTGTTAATAAAAATCAAGTCTCTTAGAAGCCGTGCTGGCTTGATATGTTAGAAAAGTACTATCTCTAATAAGATCTTTTGAGCCTCATTTCAACTCCATTATAATAATTTGATGGCATCGCATTAATTTACATTTTTAAAGAGGCTCTAGTTCAAAGTCATGTAACATTTACTGAAAATAACGTCCAAAACAAGTATCCAACATGCACTCAACGTTATCAAGATGAAATCTGTATTTAGAGCTTAATGAATGAAGCTTTTATAGTGCAGTAGCAGCACATTAGAGAACAGAAACACCTTTACAAGTTGTGTATCGATCTTTCTAACGTTTATTGAAAACTATTTTCCAGTATATTCATAAAGTTATATATAAAATTTCAAAATGTCTGTTTCTTTGTCAAAGCATATCTTTTGAACAACAAATTCTTATTTACTTATTTATACTTTTAACACATATTCTACTTTTATCTCGGCAAGCTAAAATTATTCTCGCAAGAGATATAAAAAATCCTTTATTGAACTATACACGTATGCTGACTTAATTACAATGTAAGAGAAGTCAATACAAAGACACGAGATAGAACAAATAGGATAACGATAACAACACTCGAGTACATAATATGTAAATAAATAAAACTTACATGAAAAAAGTTCTTTATGTTCATTAAATCATAGAACGCTTCTGTTGTATAATTAGTTGAAAATAGTAAGAAGATCAAAATAAACACCGTAGAAAATATGCCCCATAAAAATGAAAATTTGAAGAGCTGCAATAATATTAATTATTTTATACTAGAATACAGAGCTTAATAATATATCATATACCAGTATATCATATACGAGTATATGTATCAGAATACGAGTGACTCACTTTCACTCTGCTCGGTCCGTAGGTACGTTTTGACTATTAGTATAGATTTTTCAAAAATGAGATTTTTCTCGCAGTAAAAAGTATATATGGTGACCCGGATTACTAGCTACTATCATACGAATTTCATCAAAATCTGTCTAGTTGTTTCCTCGTGACGCATTAACAGACAGACAGACAGACTGACAAAAAAGGAGTGGATTTGGGAGATAGACTAGACCTGAAGTAAAACATTACAATCGTTTGGTAGCAAAGTGAATGGAGGGTCAATATTGTATCTACGTATAAGCATAAATCATGGTTTATTTACCTTCAAAAGTGCATCATCCGTGATGGTTGCTATAAAAAAATTACAAATCCAAATTGTGCCGATTACAAACAAACGCACGGATGTGCTATTTCTGTCGACATTGTAGAACCATTTCCTGGTGATTTAAATATTAACATTAATAAAAACTTTTTCATGAAAAACATTTATTTTACCAATACAAAGATAATAATAATTAATGAAGGGCCTTTATTACTGAAACGCCATATTAAATCGATCGATATTAAGTTGTTAATACACTGTATGGTTTTATTTAGTGAAAATACATTTTTATAAACAACTAGCAGAACCCGTGGCTTCGCTCGCGCTAAAACTGTAAAAATCAAACTCTAAAAAGGTAGCTTTCATACAAACTTTCATCGCCTATTTTACCCCCTTATGGGATGAATTTCGAAAAAAGCTAAAACACGCTTTTATTTAATTGTATTGAAGAGCATTAATACCAAGTTTCAAGTAATTCTGATTATAAATATTTTTTCGGGTTGTATTATAACGTGTTTTCTCGTAGGAATGAGATAATCTCCCGCGGTAAAAAGTAGCCTCTGTCACTCTCCAGCCCTCCAACTATCTGCGCACAAAAAAATTACACCTATCCGTCAATCCGTTTCAACGTGAAAGAAGGACAAACAAACAAACACACTTTCACATTTATAATATTAGAACAATGGATTTACGACAGTTATATTTAAATGCATGGGTATTCATTTACCATAAAACAATTAGAATATGTCTCTCATCATTCAAAATCATTGAGAACTAACAAACTGGTCTATTTCAGACGACACGACGTAAATTATAAGTTTCTTTATGGAATATTCGCAACACATTAGCGAAGTTACCAAGTTCGGTAGATTCATAATATATTCATTTTGTGCTTCACGTAACTTTATTTTAATATTGTGGTATAGTGAAGCGTAGGTCACCGGTTCAATACACGGGGTAAATTTTTATGGTGACAATGTATATTTTTATAGCCGTTAGTAGTAAGAACATTCTCAACCGACTCCAGAGAGAGGAGGTTCTCAAATCGGCTGTATTTTTTTCTTTTTTTGTATGTTACCTTAGAACTCCATCGTTTATCAGCCGACTTGGACAATTATGGTTTTGGTTTGAAAGTGTATACTTAGAGTTTGGTCCAATTTAACTTTTAAAAAAAAATACCATCCCTGAGGGTGGAAAACTACGAAAAGAAAATTTAACCTACTTCTAATTATCATATTGACTTGAAACTTTGTAAGTGTTTCTATTGCGATTGATAATGCAGTGATTCAGTATCGTCGACCTGATGTGATGGTTAGGCCAGAAGGTCGATAGATGGAACTTTTCAACGGCTAATAGTAGATACTTTGAGTTTGAATCAAATATTTTTAAAGTCGGTGTGTTAATTTGTATGGCCTGGCACCGACTTCAAAAATATTTGATTAAGTAGGTATCTATAGCAAATGAAAACTACCAATCAGCTGTTTTGTACTTTTTAGTGCTTTTTTGGATATGATTTTTTTTATTTCTATTTTTTTTTTGCATTTAATAAAAAAGAAAACTAATAACAGCAATCAATTTTTTTAAAAGAGCAAATTTATCATAAGTCTACTTATGTATATGATTTTAGGATCTCTTCCTTTTACGCTTATTATTTCATATAATTTATATATGTATATATCATTTATTTAATTAATTTTTTGCTCTTTTAACATTTCTTTTTTTTTAATTGCTGAATTTACTTTACTGTGCTTAATTATTTACTAAAGTATATTGTAATAAATAAATCGGGTACAGTATAGCAATTTTGGCATTTTCAAAACACATATGTTGATATTTATTTTGATGATGGTTAAGCGCGTAAAATAAATGTTTTAATTTTTAACTCATAAATAATGTATATATATATATATATATATATATATATAATACTATCGATAAAAGGAAAGCCTGACGAATATACATCACTATAAAACACAGGTCATTTGAATTTAATAGGTCAAGTAGACCAATCAATAAGCTCAATAGGAAGAAATTGGTTCTACGCCTTGACATTGCGCCTACATTATAGTTTCTAACAAAATATAAAACATACTAAGTGTTATGCTAAAGTTAACAAATAGAAATAAGTAACTAACATATAGTTTACATGTGTTGAGGTAGTCTTCAAATTCACTATTATACTATCACGACAGACCAGCATCACTTCCTGAGTGGTCAAACAAGTCACATTTTTGGGTATTTTCTGACATTTCGACCATGCGGGTGCTTTGTTCATACTGACCAGGAAAAATCGTATCGAGTCCGCCAAATCACTGGCATGCTATTTGAAAAAAAGTATTTATTAACTTCAATTTAATTCATATAATAACTTATGCATACGTTTGATACACCTACTCGGATAAACAATTTTAAGTAAAATTTGACATGAAGATAGCATATATCCTTGACTACCATAGTACTACATAGATTTTTTTTTGCTTAGCGAGGCTAAGATTGATAACTAATAATATTCTATGTATTAACGTCCCACTGCTGGGCACGAGCCTCCCTATAGTTCGAGCGGAATCAGGCCATAGTCCATCACGCTGGCCAAGTGCGGGTTGGCGGACTTCACATGTCTTTTTGAAAACTTGCAAGGTTCTCACAGACATGCAGGTTTCCTCACGATGTTTTCCTTCACCATTAAGACATGTAGGAATCATGTTGAAAGTGATTCGCACATGAAAACTTAGAGGTGCGAGACCCGGGATTTGAACTCGCTTCACTTGGTTTCCCAAGCGATCGCGTTACCACTGGGCTACCACTGCCTATACTAATAATATTATAATCAGTAAAATAGATAACTGATATTAAATTCACAGTTCACTCGCCTTTACGACGGTGACGAAAGTGATAAAAATGCTAATCTAAAGCCCTTCCGCCATTCATTGGATCACGAAATAACATTATTAAATAAACTTAGTGAGTGTGTTTTTGTTAGTTTTACGCTATTTTCATTGCGGGGTAGTCGGAAAGAGCAACAACAACTGCACTACGTTTTTCGCCTACATCAAAACAGTACTTAGTGAACTTTAAACGCTTTTCTATTTATCAAACCAGGACTAATGCTGTGCTACTTGCTATGGGTATTTATATGTATTACAAAGAAATACCATTCACTTTCAAATTTCAGACAGTATAAATGCTATAAACTTGAATTTGGGAATGTACCTGATTTCATATACGGAAAATTTTGAAAATTCAACCCCTAAAAGAGTTCAAAGTCTGTATGAAAACCTGTTGTTTTTAAAATACGCTATAGCTACAGCTACGAGCAGATGATAATTTATATATATATATATATATATATATATATATATATATATATATATATATATATATATATATATATATATCACTAACTCATGTATTTCCAACCTACTTTGATAGTGCAATAAGTACCGACTATATACATATTATCTTTCACCCACAATACGTTACAATAGTAACTAAGTATCGTTCGTAAAAATTTAAATTAAAAAAAGGTGCATTTTATTAAATTCATGGAAAACAAATAAACTAGTGTTACTTTTAGTTACTAACAAGCATCATAAAAACTTTACAGCAAAACATTTTGTTTCAGAGAACAATGCTGTGAAACATGTTTGAATCATGTAACTTTCATTTATATATTTTGTAAATTTAAATCATTTTGTTCGGGTTCGCTTCTAGAAAAGCAAATCAAATCTGTCCCACGGTAACGGTAACGAATCCTGTCTGTGACCGCATCACTAGAAAACCTGACTGATCACTGGACAGATTTTGATGAAATTTGGTGTGACGATAACTGGTTATTCGGGTAAACATCTATACATATAATAAAATTGTAACTAAACCGAATCTGTACATTTAATATTTTCTGGAAAATCTTATTGAAATAAACATTATTATCGATACAGAGGCCGAATCTATAGTTTTTAGAATTTTTGTCTGTCTGTCTATCTGTCTGTCTGTCTGTCTGTTACCGCATTACAGAAAAACCACTGGAGAGATTTTGATCAAATTTGGTTGGGTGATAGCTGGTTATCCGGGTCAACATATAGGATACTTTTTACCGCAGAAAAATATCTCATTTCTGAGAAAAAATGCAAAAACTGCCATATAAGAGTATACTAATGTGTAAAACCTAAGAATTTGGTTTTTGGTCATCTGAACGCGGGCGGAGCCGCGGGCCATTGCCCTACTAGTATACGATACATTTTACTGCGAGAAAATATCTTACTTTTCAGAAATCTATACTAAACGTTAAAACCTAACAAGTATGCTTTATATTTTTATTTGCAACTCTCTGTATATCGTGATACTAGTTTTAATAATTAGTATTATATACTCGTATAGAATTTATCTCAGTAAAGCTATTGAATTCTAAAATTGAAAACCACCTGTACATAACGTTTGATATACAGTATTAATTAATATCAACTCCACTGACATCAACGTAACTAGAAACTGGCCGTGACCGGATGACAACATTTTAACGAATATGTCCATATTGTAGCATCCACATGGATTTCATTTAAAAATATTATTCGAATAAATTCTGTTCCCTTTAAAAACTAAAGAACATTTTTCGTATACATTTTTCAACAACTAGTGGAACAATAATAATTGAACCTATACATTTTGCTTTGTCTGTTGTTCCATCAAATTAACATTGAAATATTTCAATAGTGTATTTTATAGGTTTCAATACATTTCAAAAGTATTACTTACTAGCGACACATCCTTGCTTTGCTCTTGTTCGTCCCTAGGAAAAAACAAAAACGACCCTACACGAACCGTGCATTTTCCGAGATAAACAATAACTATGTGCTATTCCAGAATATAATCTATCTCTGTGCCAAATTTCATCCAGATCCGTTCAGCCGTTCTGGCGTGATTGAGTAACAAACATCCATCCATACAAACTTTCATATTTACGAGTACTTATTATAGTAGATAGATTAGTGTGCTGCAAGAACACTAATTATAAAACGTAATAATTACAGAAAAAAAGAGAAAATCAGTCCTGGCTAGTTTTGTGATATTTTTTACCTATTTCAAAAAAAGGGAGTACCCAATGCTTATATATTATAGGTATCGTAATAATCGTAGACCAAGACCTTGCCTTTTAACGTTAACGTCTCTTTATATGATGCAAATAGCTTAAGAAATTTAAACATTTATACCTCCCACTTATTACCGTAAAATGGAGTCAAATTAGGTGAACGGCTCAATACGTACGTCTTAAATATAATTAAAAATATATCACACATTGTAATATTATAAAATTTTCTATTTCAAGATTCTATTCCAGCATCTTAAAATAGAAGATCGTCGAAAAATATTAAGTGATAAAATTGCTAATCACTATGCTTATATCGTATCGTACATAGGCATTTTTGAACGTTCCACTGCTGCACACCGGCCTCCTTTTATTACAAAGGGGACCAGGCTGAAGTCCACCACACTGGCCAAGTGCTTGCTAGATTCTCTTAGATATGCAGGTTTCTTTACGATGTTTTCCTTCAGCATAAGCTAAGTGGTAATCATGTTGGAAATGACTTGTATATAAAAATATCAAAGGTACAACCCTGGATTTGAACCCGCTTCACTTGGTTTCTCAAGCTATGTCTACTAAGACATTATTTATTTGTTTTATTTAATAGATATTATGATTTTAATCTCACCAGTAGAGTCCATAATGCAGTTTGCAAAAGGATACCAAAGGAAACGCCTCTCATAAGAGGATTTAATGATTTATTCGTATCCAGCCTCCTAACGTATTGTTTTATAAAGAAATCCATGAACATATAGCTTACACCTACAAGAACCGCATATAGTACATACTCGAATAAGTGAACTGGAAATAAATATGTATTTTTGTTATTAATTACACAAAAAAATAACGATTTATGTTTTTGATATAATATCTATTGTATACCACGTAATACTACAAAGGTAAAGAGAGTTTTATATGAAAGTATAATAATGTAAATAGCCGTCTATGCGCCACAGTTCTGGCGATACGTGTAATAAATAAATTACTTTCTTATTCTTTGGGTGTTGGACTATTATTTACATGAACACGCAATTAGTTAGTGATTCTCTTATGCAAGTATTTTCTAATAACCAACAATCCCAAAAAGAGTATATTGGTGGTTGGAGTATGTTGGTTGGTTATCTAATAACCAACAATCCCAAAAAGAGTATGTTGGTGGTTGGAGTATGTTGGTTGGTTATCTAATAACCAACAATCCCAAAAAGAGTATGTTGGTTAATCAGAACGTTAATCGTTAGCAGTATCAGCTAGATTTGTAAAAAATTTCATTTTATAACCTACTAGCAGAACCCGCGGCTTCGCTCGCGCTAAAGCTACAAAAAAACTCTTATAAATTAGGTTTCATAGAAACATTCATCCCATATTTTACTGCCTTATGAAATGAATTTCGTAAAATGCTAAAACAAATACTTATTTAATTGTTTTGAAGAGCATTAATTTCAAGTTTCATATAATTCTGACCATAAATATTATTTGGATTGTTTTATAACGAGTTTTTCCGTAGGAATGAGATAATCTCCCGCAATAAAAAATAGCCTATATCACTTTTCAGCCCTCCAACAACTATCTCCAGACAAAAAATTACGCATATCACTCTGTTTGGACGTAAAAGGAGGACAAACAAACACACCTTCACATTTATAATATTAAAGTATGGAAGTATTGTAGATTTATTAAGAAAAGTATAGGCATCACACTAATACATTTTAGAGCAGAACGATTAAAAATAAATATGTATATATAGCACGTGTTATATACGCGAGCAAAGCCGCGGTTGCAAGTTACTATAAAATAAATATTAATTAAAAATTAATGTTTAAATAAATAAGATATATAGTTATACCATGAACAACCAAAACTTTTGAAAACATATCGAAACTCGTGCTTGTAGATGAAAATGCATGCGCTACGTATATAAATTTCTTTATACTATGCCATTTAAAATGGCAGCCTATGTTGATATCCTGAAAAGACATAAGGTGTACGGTTTCGCTATTTTAATGTATAATAAAATAGTTATTAATTGATTAAACTAACCACACTGATGACGCGAACGCGTCTATTATTATATAACTAGCGACTAACACTCGCTTCGTTCGGGTTCATCCCTAGCTTGCTTCCCAATACAAACTTTCATCTCCATTTTCACCCCTTTAAGGGATGATTTCCGGGATAAAAAGTATCCTAAGTCCTTTCCAGGGTCTCAAACTATCTTCTTACAAAATTTAATCTAAATCAGTTCAGTAGATCACCCCCCACCCATCAGAGATTACCCCAAAACGTCGTCACAAACACACAAACAATATTAGTATAGATAAATCAGGCAGCTAAAAATGACGGGAATGTTCAGTCCGAAAAAAGAAATTCCTAAACATTCTCGTTATTTTTAAAATAGAAAGAATAAATAAACAAAAGAGGATTGAGGTTGTGTTTTCTGTGATTTTCAAATGGAGCCATGAAATAATAAATTGTTGAGATTAAGTGTTTCCTATTAAATTGTGACTAAATCTAGTTAATAATATATAAAGTTTTGAAACATGATCGTGGCCTTTTCTGAGATATCCTACAAAAGTCATTATAATATTTAAACTTATAATTTAAATTTTCATACGTTTGTCATTTAAAGTCGATATATTATATTAAGGTTTTAGTTTTTTAAACGTTTTGAGATTTTATTCGTACCATCGCTGGGGGTTGATAATGATATTTGAATATTTTTTTTATTTTTATATATATTTTATTAATAAGAATACTTTAAATTAGCTTAGTTTAAAAACTCTGACTATTTTAAAACTAAAATATCAAAACGAAAGATTACTATGAATCAAAAAAGTATATCTTACATTTCGTTCACTCGACGATTGTACACTTTGGGTCAAATCTATGTGTCTGCTCATTTTATCTTTACACCAAACTGTAAAGCATAATGTTAAATTTATATATTTTAAATATTTCAAATTTTTATATTAGATCTCAAATAAAATAAACTAACCAATGCATCATCCAAAACTTACCTAATAGGGAATTTGCAAAGCATATTAAAATAAACGATGTTTGTACTCTGAGCTATAATAATGAACCTACCTAGTGTTAAATCAATATATATATATATATATATATATATATATATATATATACATTTGACATTTTAAATAAAATGTCTTTTTGGATTTTTTCGCGGATTTATTTTGATTTTTGGTTTCCGACGTTTCGAATGCTTTACAGCAATCATGGCCACGGGAGAGTAAGGTTTTAGATGTCTCAAAGGCTAGTATAGTTGTTACAAAGAGCCTACCCACAAAATAACAAAACGAATTCATTTTGTTATTTTGTGAAACGTCGGAAGCAAAATTCAAAATAGATCCGCCAAAAAACAGTTTTATTTAATATGTTCATTAATTACATAAATTGCAAGGTCTGTGTGTTTAAAAAAGCTACGCTAAAGCTTAAATAAAAACACAATAATTTTAGTAAACCCGATTTTCATGGAGCTTTCACAGACTTTCTATACACTTTTCTTTCTTACACACTTACTACTTTCCAAAAAGCATAAATAAATAAAAGTAGAAGAGTTAAAACGACCAAGTGAAAATATAATAATAATTAAATTTCATTGGCTGCTCGAATGAGACGTCCAAGGCTACTTTTTCTCACAAAAACAGCTCACAAAAGGTCATAGAACAGCTGTTTTATGCAAATATAGTCAACCGAAGTGAAAAAGGGGCATTTTGTAAAAAATATATAAAACTAGCATACTAGCATTGTCCGTGGCTCCGCCCGCGTTCAGATGACCAAAAACCTAATTCTTAGGTTTTACATATTAGTATACTCTTACAATGCAGTTTTTGTGTTTTTGTATTTTTTCTCAGAAATGAAATATTTTACCGCGGTAAAAAGTAGCCTATATGTTGACCCGGATAACCAGCTATTATCATACCAAATTTCATCAAAATCTGTCCAGTGGTTTTCTCGTGATGCGGTAACAGACAGACAGACAGACAGAAAGACAGACAAAAATTCTAAAAACTATAGATTCGGACTCTGTATCGATAATAATTTCTATTTCAATTAGATTCCCCAAAAAATATTTAATGTACAGATTTGACTTAGAAATTTATTATATGTATAGATGTGCCTTTACTAAATATTATTCTATTCATATTAATTTTTCTGGACCTTTGTTAGTTTTTATCTATACAAAAATTATTATAAAGCTATAAAAATAAAATCAAAAATAAATTAGATTGAGTTTGTACGAACAATAATTCAGAATTTCTAATTCAAAGCCCATTCAAATGGTTCAATTTATCGCTTCAAAGAGCTCAATATTTTACTGACTTTAAGATTTTTATTTTTAAAGCTGGTAGTTTATTAATATATAGAGAAATAAGCTCTGGATATAATAAAATGGTATTGAAGGAAGTAGGTGATATATGATAGAAGATAGTCTTTTCTATCGGTTTATTTTTAACGTACTCGTATATACACAAAAATCTTCTTACTTAAAGGAGACGATGTTCTTATGAGATTTATATTATTTATAATCTAGCGAAAAGTTCAAATTAATATATTCATATCTAAATCTAAAATAATTGAAATTTTGACATGCAATAATTATTTTTTAACATTTATGGTAGGTACATCGATTCCAAAATCAAACATTCAAAAACATACATTCAGACAGACGAGTTGAATATGTTTAGTAGTAGTTTTTGAAGTCGATCAAATGAATAAAATTTTAAATATATGAATTTTCTATAGTTTTTTTAACTTACTTGTCCCAACAATTTAGTCACTACACGTCATCTCTTCTCTTTGTATAGGAAAATATATTTGAAAAAAAAATATATATATCATAAATGAAATATGTTTAGATTACATAATATATTTTTATGATACCTTTAATTAAAAATAACTTGGAATTGATTATTACGTAAAATACAATACCTATATAAAATTCACTTTTTATTCTATTTTTTTTTTAAATATAAATATACAACAAAAAGCTCAAGTTTTAGCTTACTATTCAATAATTTATATTTTAGTCCTAGAAGTTTGATGTACAATGTCATATGTTTGACATTGGCAATACAGTGCTTTATAAATTCCATAGAGTTGTGGAATACTGACATAACTGTCAAATCTATATTTATTTATTCATTTATATATATATATATATATATATATATATATATATATATATATATATATATATATATATATATAATTCAATGTCCTGACTGACTGATATATCAACGCATATCCCAAACAGCAGGTCTTGAAGACATGAAATTTGACCCTTTCTTAGTGGATCTAAGAGGGTGAAATGGGGGTTTGAATTTTCTGTGAAACTTTTTATTCTCTGTGTTCATTGACTCGAAAATACGTACACATAGTAATCAAAAAAAAAATTATGAGACACGTGTATCACAGTTTTTCCAAAATCATTCCCCAACAAAAGTTCAATAGGGCTTCGAAAATCCTACATGGCCTAGTAGGTTTATTATTCTTACAACATATTATATGAGTGTAGATAAAATAAATTTCTACTTAAATATCTAACCATGTTATTTAAATACTTGAGAAATTACATAAAAACGAAGTCACAGAAACGAAGTAAAAGAAGTTGAAATATAATATTATTTTAGTTATACCGTGCTAGTGTAATACGGCTCATATTTACGAAGAAAATCAAATAAGGAAATCAAAAGGCGGTATCTGGAAAACGTCTAGATCGGAATTAAATTACAGAAACTCAGTATCTCGCTAGAAAGGGCGAGCCTTTGAACAGTGTCAGTAGAGAAAAACGTAAAACAAGATACTGAAAAGGATCGACGGTCTAGGAGTTTGAGTCTGTTTTCGCGTTTAAGGTTACTGGTTCGATTCATGGTTGAAACAAATATTTTTATTAGCCATATGAGCATTACATGCGGTAGGCGAGATCACGAACCGACTACACTGACTGATATTTAACCTTTATAAGCACGCGGAGCCACAGGTGGCTCGGTTAACAATTAATTTCTTAGAATTTAACCACGAGGTGTTAAATTAATAGACGATGCAAAAGGGCTTGTATAATCCTAATTGAACAAAGTTAATTTTCATTCCATTTCATATGTTGTGTATAGCCGAGAAAAGTAAAGGCCGTTCAGTTTGTAGCGTTCAATCTACAAAAATACTCTTTGGCTTTATATTATACTAGCAAAATTAAATTATACTAAAAACACAAACAGATCTATCCCACGGGAACCATTCATTTTTCCGGGATTAAAAGTAACTTGTTGTTTGATCGGCACTATAAGGTATCAGCATGCCAAATTTTATTAAATTAGGTGCTTATGTTGTTGTGTACTAAGGTATAAGTTACTATAGTTTTTTAACTATCCCACGGGAACTCTTTAATTTTCCAGGATAAAAAGTATTTAAGATGTTGCCCGGGGATATAAGGTACCACCATGCTAAATTTCATTTAAATCGGTCTAATAGATTCGGAGATTAGCCCGTACAAACAGACAAACAGACAGAGAAACAAAAAATTGAAAAATCTGGATTTGTTTTATTTGTCTTCTTACATCTCCCTGACTCCGTTGTAAGCATTTTTTTTCTATGTACAGACATTTGACCTCTACAGTTTTATTATAGTATAGATAGCGACACATGCTAGCTTCTTCCGACTTCGTCCCTATGTATTTTTTATATAATAATATGATTATATATACATAGTTTTACAATAACGTATGAAAGTCTGTCTGATTTATTGACATTTATGATTACTGCTCCGCTTCCTTGTGTAGTGGCGTGAGGGTATAATATAGCCTTCCTCAATAAAAGGGCTATCTAAATGCAAAAAGAATTTTTCAAATCGGATTAGCAGTTCCGGAGAATAGCGCGTTCAAACAAACAAACAATAAACTAAGTATTATATTAAGTATAGATGTATAAGAAACTGTCACGGACAGCGGCTTGTGTAAATACTCTTTAATGCTATGCCTTATGACGTCACGTTTAATTTATATAAACCCTTGATTTATGAACTCTGTAGATTTAACTTACTGTTTTATTTAGATATCTCGTATAATCATATATTATATTCATATTACAGTAATTAAGACGTTTATCATGTGTGATATTTATAAGAGGTGCGAGACTTAAGATTTGAACCTGCTTCACTCGGTTTCCAAAGCCTGTCTCCTGTATTATTTATCTCTTTCTAAATAGGTAAGAGTCCTCAATTTCTACAAAAAACCATATTAAATTTTACAACATTTATATGGACCAGAGATTGACCAGAGAGATAACCTATTTTAACCACATTGTCCGATTTTGGATATCATGTAACATGCCAATATGCATAACGATGCTTACTGTCCGAGTATTATGATGTTTATAAACAATGGCAACAATTTTTCACTTAGTCCATAAAAATATAACTGTTAAGCCCACAAAACCTATTATTCTCACAAAGAATCCAATAGTAAATTGTATAAAAATTTCAAGGCACGTGCAAACACAGAATGGAGGAAACTCAATTATCACTCCGCTTAGTTTGCCATTCATACATATACTTTTTTAACGTCGCTATGACTAATATGTTACTTTTAAATGCAATTTTTAAATATTTTCTTTGATGTTTACTAAAATTATTAGAAGGTTAAGTCCTTTAAATGAGCACAATCAAATATTTTTTAGCTATTCTATACATTTTTATATATCTTAAAATTTGTTTATAAACTAATTTTCACCACCAGTAACGTTAAAGGAAATATAAAAAGAGCAATACAGCAATCAGTTCTTATATTTTATTAATACCATCTATAATATTACATTCATCTAGTAACAGAATTGTTACGCAGAATTACCTATATACATACTCGTAGTTCACTCATGGTCGGGGTCAGTTCAAGTTCAATACTAAGGCTTGCTGAAGTTCAAGCGCAGTGTCCAGGATTACATAGGGTTGGTACAGTCTAGCAATAATAATTTTAAAATTATACATAAGTTTCCAGATACGTGCATTGGCTTCCTTCAGGTAGGGCATTAAAGTACTCATATAAACACAAATATACCGGCGTATATGTGTGTGTGTACATAAATATCCAGAAGCTTAAATACACACATATGTACCTACATAGACGGTGTATGTTACATTCAGATTAAGTTATCCGATACAACACGACACGCCACAAATCCTTAGTGATTACTGGAAATTTTCATGGGTTTACTCAACTACTGAAGATTCATCGCCATTACGTGAATGCCTAGTGCTATAAAACGACGGTTCTTGAGTAAATAAATAATAGTAAAAATATATAAATTAGTTGTGTCAACCCTACTTTTACGGTAGACTGAGAACCTCTTATGAGATTATCTTGGAATTGAAATTATATTGAACGTCGAAAGAGTTAGAATTGGATCTCTTACTGTCACACAATGAAAATTTTTTAAACTTGTTTTCATGTATCAATATAATACAAATAAAATGTTATTTAAGGCTATTGTTTTAAATTTTTATAATAGGTTCTTGGGATTTTTTTTTTGGAAAATTACCCGGAAATTGGGTAATTTGGGTGAAATTGCTTTTGTCTATACAATTATTGTATGACTGAAATGATCATAAATCATTGAAATTTTGACAGGACAATGTCAATCAAGTCCGCTAGTTTACAGTAAGATTGTCTCTTCATTAGCGAAGTAATCTGTGCTGAACTAGCACGCTTCGAATCCATTAAACAAGAGAATTGAATTGAAGATGGTCCTTAATTCATATGAAGTCTATGAAACCTCTTTTCATATTATTATTGACTATAAATATGTAAAATTTTGTTTATTAAAACATACTTCCTTTTATTTCTTGTATTATGTCGTTACACTTTTTCTTCTTCTTCCTACCCATTTCTCAAATTACTTGGGGTCGACGCAGTACGTCTACCATCCCCCCCAACGTGCGTTCACCTTGTCGTGGTGGGGGGGCTCAGTAGCAGTAGCGAAGCTAAGAAACGCACAGGGAGGTTGCCCACTTCGGTGGGCGGTGGGAGGTGGCCCTCTTCGGAGGGCGGTGTACCATGCGGGTTGCTCCTGGTACTTCTCTGATAGCAGAGTGGACTGTGGAGCAATCCCATGGTTGTGGTGGTCTGCTTCGGCGGACCTGCCGTCGGGGCGTCGTAGTTGAATGCGTAAGCGATCCTGCGACGCCCCATTAAGACGGGGGAAGGTTTTGTTGGGTTTTAGTGGGTAGTACTGGCTGTATTACGCCGGTGAGTCCCACACGTCGTGCGTAAATGCATTTCCCAACGTTAAAAAAAAAAAAAAAAAAAAAAAAAAAAAAAAAAAAAAAAAAAAAAAAAAAAAAAAAAGTACGTCTACCATACTGCTGATCGGTTTTGGCAAAAGTTTTACGACCGGCCGCCTGCCTGACATCAACCCTCCATGGGAATGGATTATGTCTTTACACTAATATTCTTTTTTGAAAGCTTGATAAGATGATTCTATACTGAAGATGATATTGTTGAATTAAAATGTATTTGAGGATTTTCATTCAAAATTCTTGTCCGAGTTTATTAGAAGCTTAACATTTGACAATAACGGTACTGAGAGAGCATTGAATGTCTCGCTATTTGAATATATATTGTCACAAATATTTTAATTAAAACGGTGCTTCTAGGACATTTATTGAATTCTTCCACGTGTTCGTTCATTTGTTCTTAACGCAACAATGTTAGCCATTGATTGTTCTATAAAGTTAGTAAAGGTTTTTTTTTTAAAACTTAATTACTGTTAATTACGAGATTTTTTTAATGTAAACTATTTGGTGATATAAATAAAAGTATCATTCACTTTACTTAACACCTAGCTGTTAAGCTGTTTATAAATATTGTTACTATAAACTCTCAGTGATAGGTCATTTCTGAAATAATAATACCATATAGGACATAGCTAAAGAAAATTCGGGATCGAAGCAGTAGATTACCTCTTCTTCATCCAAATATAAGCTTAATATCTTTATAATATAAATGCAAACTATTAAAACCCTTTCTCTTTACACATTGTAGCAAAAATCAATATTCATAGTATTTTTTATGAATAGGGATTGTGATTGAAATAAAATATTTTTTGTTTAAAGTATGTTTTTGTGTATATCATACTGTGACGTCACACGATTGGACGATTAAATTATCCGTATGGGTATAATATTTTAAACTTTTTTTGCAGTAAATTTTACATTTTTAGAGTATTTTTTTAGTATACTTTTTTACATTTATATAATTATGTTAGCTGTTGTACAAAAAATTAAAAAAACAATCACGCATATTCCCTATTTTTAGTATTTCTGCCACCTTAAAACACTTGAAAATTCGGCTCTGACCCGGTCGAAACTAAAAAGGATATGGTTAGGATACGTATTCAGCCCTTTTTAATATCCCACCGCTGGGCATGGGCCACAAGGGGGATCAGACCATTGCCCACCACGCTGGTCAAGATGTTTATATTATGATATAGATAAATAATGCATAATTATTGTAGAATATATTATATTTTCTAAAAACATTCGTACTTAAGTTATTGTAAGCTTTACGATCTTGCTATAAATTCTGCAGTGAAGGGCTTCGCGCTGGATAACATACCAATATCGGGAATATCGGATGGTAAAACGCCATTGCTACACTCTATTCTATACTTTTGTATAATTCCAACGAAGACGATGAATATGAATGATTTAGCTAGAGAGTCTCCTGGACATCGTCTCCGACCTGTAAGAAAATTTTTCGCTTTTATATTACGAGTTCATTAAACCGTATTAAAGAAAGGTATAGTGTTATGATTATTGCATGAAGTTTGAAGCCTTATGCCCGATTAGCTTATGTGGTGTGTGTGTGTGGTAATATATATATATATATATATATATATATATATATATATATATATATATTACATTACCACGTTGAACATTCGCAGACAAACATGAAAACCTTATAGACCAATAACAATTTATAAACCATCAAAATACGTAGACATATTTTTTTTATTTATTTTTAATGCACATTGTACATACATAATATTCGATACTTTTTTTATTTGTCTTCAAAATATCCTTAAACAATACGTATAGTATAGGAACACGTACTTAGAACTAATATTGGAGGTGTATTACTTTACAGACAACGTCAAGACAAAATTTATGGTGTAATTAAAATTTATTTTAAAATATATCCGAAAATAACATTAAAAATTTAAGTAATAGTAGAAAAATGTTTTAAAGGACAACAAAATCGAAAGTGCATAATACAAGACTTCCGCGATACCATTCAGACAAAGAGAGACAATATCATTCCCAAGGAGGGTTGACGTCAGGCAGGCGGCCGGTCGTAAAACTTTTGCCAAATCCTATCAGCAGTACAGAAGATGTGCTGCGCCGACCCCAAGTAATTGGGAAATGGGCAGGGAGAAGAAGATTACAGATTGGCAAAGCCAGATCAACATATATGTAGTTAAAAAATCCTTATATTTTTATATGGAGACATAAAAAATATATTTTATATATAAACTTTATATTATAACGTAATAATATGTACTCGCATTTAAATGTGACATGAAATGGTCAACTAATTATTTATTGTTATTAGAGGCTCTTTCAACTCTGTTAATAGTAACGGTAAAGGAAATACGAATATCAATGTGTGTGTATATTAGTCGGGAATAACCAAATCATTTGCCGCTGATTAATATATGCATGAGGATTTATGAGATCCATCATCATAAGTACACATGAAGCTTTTTCTGATTTTAGGAAGATTATCCTTTATAACAATAATGTACGTATACTGTACATAATTGTACCTTTTTAACGTCCCACTGCTGGGGGTGGGCCTCCATTCAATACGAGGGGATCAGACTATAGTCCACCACACTGGCCAAGTGCGGGTTGGCGGGCTTCAAATATCTTTCGAAAATTTGCTAGGTTTTCTCATGATGTTTTCCTTTGCCGTAAGACAAGTGTTAACCATGTTCGAAAATGATTCGTACATGAAAATATCAGAGATGCGAGACCCGGGATTTGAATCCACTTCACTCGGTTTCTCAAGCAAGCGATTATTGCTACCACTGATTTACTGTTAACAATAATATTATATACATATTCAGACTAAGAAATAATACAGAGTCTTAGAACGAAACACGACGCCAAACAATCTATATATATAATAAAATTCTAACTAAGTCAAATTTGTACATTAAATATTTTTGGGAAATCTAACTGAAATAGACATTATTATCGATACAGAGTCCGAATCTATAGTTTTTACAATTTTTGTCTGTCTGTCTGTCTTTCTGTCTGTCTGTCAGTTACCGCATTACGAGAAAACCACTGGACAGATTTTGATGAAATTTGGTATGATAAATATATAATAAATAGAAAAAATACAAAAATACAAAAACTGCACTGTAAGAGTATACTAATATGTAAAACCTAAGAATTAGGTTTTTGGTCATCTGAACGCGGGCGGAGCCGCGGGTAATGCTAGTAATGTTATAAAACAGCATACAAATATTAAGAGAACTCTCATTACTGTGATTAGTAAATAAATGTTAAACAAAAATAGCTAACGGATTTTATTACAATAAGGAAAATTATATCAAGTTCTCTTTTAAAAGAAAGAGAACTAAGGTTTCTAACTCGCACACCGAGGGTTCTGTAGATTGAATCTACTTTACGGTTTTCGGATTTTCTATATTTACTTATACTATAAGACATTGCTTTGCCATATTTCATGATTCTAGGTCAACGGGAAGTACCCTATAGGTTTTGTATAAGCGACCGTATCTTTTGATTGTGTTGACTTAGAAGATTATTTCACAGCTCCAAGGGATTTCAGACCGGTGTATTTGATAATAATTTCAACTTGATACCTCCACACTTTCCTGAGGAAATGGAACTTGGCAAACAAACAGACAGACTGACGGACAACGAAGTGATGTTTTTCCTTTTCAGGTACGGAACTCTAAAAATTCATAAGAATATAGTATTATTTTTACTATTCATTATTATTATTCATGTGTTTTTCTCTAAAATTGTAAATTAACAACCAATAAGTATCTATATAAAATGTTCCTTAAATTTTTATTTTGTCAGTTTGTCTGACAATATTTTAAGTAAATTTTATTACAAACTAGCGACTCAACAGTTAGTATCGATTTACAAGAGATGAGATATTTTCCCGCAGTAAAATGTACTCTATATGTTGACCCGAATAATCAGCTATCATCATACCAAACTTCATCCAAATCTGTCTAGTGGTTTTCTTGTGATGCGTTCCCAGACAGACAGACAGACAGACAGACAAAATTCTAAAAACTATATTCTGCTTCTGTATCGACTATTCAATAAGAATTCTAAAATATTCACTATTTCAATAAGATTTTCAGAAAAATATTTAATGTACAGATATGACTCAGAATTTTATTATATGTATATATAAAGGATACATTTTACTACAGGAAAATGTATCGGGAATGTTTCCTACGGAAAAACACAATGGTTCTATCGAGTCATCCTTAGACATTTACATCGCTAACGCTGGCTAAATCTTAAGAAATAAATTAAAAAAATGTAGTAGGTCTTAAAGAGGCCTACATTTTTTGTAGGCCTTTTTAAGACCTAGTGCATTTTTTGTCCTTTTTTTTCCTTTTTTCCAAGTACATTACGTACAATCGCAGTAGCTATTTTTATCTATTTAAAACGTATCTAGACACACCGCAGCGAGTGAAGCGAGAGTAGATCGCTAGTATTGCATTCACCATTAACTTTCGCATAGCAAAAAATGAGCTAGAGATTAAAAATATTAAATGCATTTTAAATTATAAATTTTTATCGTATAATATACGATTTATAAGTTACTAGCATTGCGCGCGGCTTCGCCCGCGTTCAAATGACCAATAACAAAATTCTTAGGTATTACATATACTCTTACATTGCAGTTTTTGTATTTTTTCCCAGAAAGAGATACTTTCCCGCGGTAAAATTTTAATCAAAATCCCTCCCGTGGGTTTTCTGTGATGCGGTAACAGACAGACAGACAGACAGACAAAAATTCTAAAAACAATAGATTCGGCCTCTGTATCGATAATAATGTCTATTTCAATAAGATTTTTCCAAAAAATATTTAATGTACAGATTCGGCTTAGTTACAATTTTATTATATGTATAAATAAACTAAGCTTACAATATAATAACTGCAATACTTTTTCAAAGTTTTATACGGCTTATGCGACTAATCAATAATGCTTTCTTTCTTTATTCTAAGTTTATAAAGTAATTTATAAAAAAAATATAGTTCATTTACAATTACTACGGTGAAGGAAAACATCGTTAAGAATAAGCATTTCTGAGAGAATTTTACTAGTTTTGAAAACATGTGAAATCTGATAAACAGATGCTGGTTTTTGGTCAGTGTGGCGGATTCTCATTAAGTAGAGTCCATTAAAAAAGTTGTAATATGTACGAAAACCTCGTGATACGGTGCTAAAATGCTAAATTGTTTTGTCGAATTACACCAAAGACAACGATAAAAAGAGACATAAAATCTACATTATTATATACTAGGGGAACCCGCGGCTTCGCCAGCGCTAAAACTCTATTTACCCTCTATTTTACAGCCTTATAGGATGAAATTCAAAATATGCTCAAACATATATAGAAATGTATTTAAGAGCAACAATATCAAGTTTCAAGTAATTCTGATCATAAATCATTTTTTGAGTTGTATTATAACGTATTTTCTCGTGGGAATGAGATAATCTTCCGCGGTAAAAAGTATATGTCACTCTCCAGCCCTCCAATTATCTTCACACCAAAAATCACGCCAATCAATCAATCCGTTTCGAGGTAAAAGATGAACAAACAAACAAAGGCACTTATAATATTACCATATATATAATATTAAGTATGGATTACACTAGCACTCTAAACTCACATCACTTAGACCTACATAACCAAGTGTTTTGCAAAATTGCAAAAGAAAACAAAATTAAAACCTATTCCACTGCCAATTCCAAAAGCTATCTATATGCAAAAATCATGCCAATCTATTTCTATTCAGTTGCGCGGAAAAATAATAAATCAATAAACCATCTAATAAAAAATACACAATCGAGGTCTTACTATTACTAAAGATAAGGATGAAAAAGTTAAAAACTGACCAAGTCCGAACGAATATATGTGTTCAGTATTCTTGATGTTCCCAGTTTCATCGATGAATCTCTCTGGCATAAACTGGTCTGGTTTCTCCCAAATTTTTTCATCTAAATGTATATCTCCAAGAGATATTAGTATTGTTGTATCTTTAGGTATCACATATCCATCCATGGTGACGTCTTCTAGCAGTCTTCTTGGACCTGCCACTGGGACGATCGTGAAGTAGCGTTGGACTTCAAGAAGATATGCCATCGTATATACGAGTCTTAAAGAAAAATATTTTTTTAAAACTAACTGAATATAAAAAGCAATTTAACTTTTTTTAAAACTAACTGATTCTAAAAAGCTTTTATTGTATAATATTATAATTTTAACTTTTGCAAAATGTTTAAGTAAATTGTTATTTATCTGAAATTGCAAATATAATAAATAAACTTTCATATATAAATAAATAAAAGAAAAAAATATTAAAACTAATTAAATACTAAAAGCTTTTATTCCTGGATACGATTTTATAACTTTTATTAAGCGTATAAAATACCAATTTCCGAAATTTACTTGTAATCAATAAACCTTTCACATTTAAATGAAAAGCGAGTATCAATTCAATACACTGTTTACAGATAAAAGGTCAGTTGAAATTTGAATATATATTTTGTTTTAGACAATAGGGAGAGTATGCGTGGTTTTTTTTGTTTTTTATACAAAAGCTTACACGTTATATAATTGAAAAAAAACCGCACAAAAAACTAAAATTTAGTTTAAAAAGAAATTTTAAATATCATACAGATACGGATACTTTAAACGCCCGCTATTTCGCGCACTTGGCGTGACGTCACAGTATGATATACACAGAAAAATGACGATTCAATTTGTAGCAAGAAAATCGCTACATGCTCTGTTATGATATACTCTGACGTCATATTCGGTCTGACCTATGGCGTTGCGTTTCAACTAGTTTGAAACTCCCACCTATATTTGCACTTGTTAATAATTACTTTCTGAATGAAAAAGAAATGACATTAAAAATTATTTACAAAGCCTTAATTCAATAGCAATAAAGATTATTAAAAAAATATATTTCACCGTTATTAAAATCACACGCATATTCTCTATTTTATTTTACATGTCAGCTTTAGCCTTTTCGTTCATTGGAATTTTATTCATGACTGAAAAACTCACCTGTTACTGTCTGTCCACATCGGTGTTCTATTACCTATAATACTTATTATTTCATCATAAATTTTGTCTTGAATTATATTATTACGTAATACCATCAATATAGCAAATTCTAAGACATTACTAGTTGTTTGTGAACCAGCTATGAGAATATCAAGACATATTACTCTTAGTTGTTCCTCTGAAAAGAAAATATTGTATTTTAGTACTTTGTACAACATTTGGAAATAAAAAACTTACTTATTACTTAATTGTTCACCCACAAATCGGTTTAAAGTACCATCGGTTCACAGGACTTTCGAGCTCTATCTTTTAAAAGATCCTTTATGCTATAGTTTTTAGATTCGATTATATAATATTCATAAGTCCTTATTTAATAATAATAACAAATATGTTGGACAATTAACACACAGCACCATCTAGTTCCATTATAAGTAAGCTACGAGGCTTGTATTATGGACTCCACTAGTACACATATATAACTTAAAGTACATACATATTGACAAACACTCGTGACAAATATTCGACTCGTGGGACTCGAACCCGCGACCACTGGCACAACGAGTAAGGTCATAAACTGAGCCAAATGTGTTATCTAGATTATAAGAAAAAACAACATATAACTATGTAAAATTGAATATTTTGTAGGTATAGTGCTGCTATCTAGTGGTTTGTTTTTGCAAAACTGTAGCTAATGACACATAGAACCTTGTAGCATTCATAACTACATAAGTACTAAAATTGTAACATAGAACCTTGTAATATTGAGCCAACGACATGTTTTAAATTATTTTACTCGATAGAAAAAATCCAACGTTCTCGTTTTTTATTAAAAAAAAACTTGCTTTGTGCAAGCCCGAATTAAACCAAGTTTACTGAATATGAGAAAACGTATTCCACTATATTTCATTACCAATCTTCAGTTTAAGGCATAAATTGAAACATCAAATTAAATTTTAATATCACAGCAAATATAAATAAAAGTACAATTATTTATTCTATCTCGAATATAAGACATCCCTTTGCTAATTTACATTTTTATAACTATAATTTTCTAGTAGTCTTATATAAAGGTATTTCATAATTAATTTTCTTTTTGAAATCTTTCATATATCTTTTATACGTTTTATACAAATAAAATATGTGATTTTTAATCATGAAAGCTGAAGCAGATGAGTTTTTCAGAAGAGTTTTTTTAATGTTGGGAAATACATTGCAGACATACAGTTTATGCAGGACTCATCGGCTAGAAAAGCCAGTACTATCCACTAAAAGCCAACTAAACCTTCCCCGGCGTCGCAGGACCGCTTAGGCAATGTACCACGATGCCCCAACAGCAGGCCTGCTGAAGCAGACCACAAGAACAACAATACATATCAAATCGTGCTTAGATCATATTATTTCTACACTAAAACAGATTCATTTAAATCGATTATCAAATCATAAAGAGTCAAACAAATTGACAGATCGATGAAAGAAATCGGTCTCTAAATAATTAATAATTTATAACGAAAAACCTAAATGCCATTTAAGCTAGTATTATTCGTTACTCCGCTCATTTCCGTATCCTATCAGTATTTTAACTAATATTTGACACTCACCTGTGAAAGTTTCCTTATTTTCACTCATCTCTTGCAGGAACATGTAAATAAAATCATTGCCATTTACTAATTTATTTTTGTGCCTACATATAGCTTCCTAAAAGTAGAAAAATTAATGCTAAAATTATTAAAACATTTCTAAAATATGAATCAACATAAATTGTTACAGAGGAATTGGAAAGATGATTTTATATCAAATCAAAATCAAAATATTCTTTATTCTAATTGACTTTTTCAAGTACTTATGAATCGTCACTTTTACGTTTATAAAATTTGTATGTGATGATGATGATGTTCTGACCGATTCCGGCCACGGCGGCCAATCTCATTGCGACTAGCCAACTACGCAGGAGATATTATAGTGCTCAAGTGTACGCGCAGACACAAGGGCACTCTCTATTCCTATCACTCTCATACTCCGGTGGGACGACCTCTCGACACGACCGGTGAGAGTTAAGGCGCAGGACCGATGGCTTTACGCGCACTCCGAGACACGGGGGTGTAGCACCGCCAACTTCCCAACTCCGGGCTGTTACTGAGGCTTACTATACAGAAAGACTCAATAACTAAACTTGGCCCGACCCGGGACTCGAACCCAGGACCTCCGGGTGTGTAGCCGTACATGCTAGCCATTACACCACCAAGGCAGTTTTAGAGGCAAATTTGTATGTACGTACGTCCGTAAGGAATCTATCACCGGCTCGGTTATATCTTTTGTAACTAAATAATGTCATCATAGTCGATTATGGCTACGGTGGTCAATCTCACTAAGACAGGAGATACTAATGTGTGCTACTATATGCAACAAAACGAGTGCTCTCTACATTCGTTTCGCCGGAATATAATCAGGACATTATGTAGGATCAAACGCTTTACATGCTCTGCGAGGCATCGGGCATATTATAACTAGAGAATTTCTTGTTAGAATCACCTAATAATTGTATTTGACAAGACCCGGGATTACAATCCAGGCCCTCCGGGTCTGATTTTGTGCTAACCACTAGACCAAAGAAGTCCCAAATATTATCGGTCCAATTAAGCATCCTTTTCTCATCCTAATAAACTTTCCGTTATGGTCGTATGTTAATAATGAGTCTGAAGTTAAGTAAGCACAATTTCTATTACATATTAATCCATCGATATGATTAATATAACTATTTGCACCATACAAGAATCGAACCTCCAATATAATAGGCAATACCAGTAAACATAACGACTCTACAGCCCATCATTAAAAGACGAACACCGACAATCCTTCACCGACTGGTTGTTACTGGATAAAAAATATTTTCTATTAAACATAATATAGAACAAATTCATCGTAGATGTATTGAATAAGGTCTTATTAGTGTCGAAGAATAATAGTTATAGAAATTCAGGGCATATAAAAAATTAAAAATAATTTTCACTTACATCAATGATATCAGCTATTTGTTGATTCATTTTCTTTATTAGTCTATAACCACTCGCCTCTGGTAGAAGGAATCGTATCCATGGCCACTGGCTTAACCATCCTCCAGACATCGAAAATGCCTTCGACCTAGTATTTAATAAATCTAACAGCAAGTTTAAACGCTCTTCTTTTATTCGCTCACCTGCAAAAATATAATAATTTAATTATGCCACTGTACCTATACACCATTTATCATTTTTTGCATATTTTTTATAAGTTTTTATTATTCATTAGTATATTTCATCTGCGGTTCACGGTACGTGATAATTATTAAAAAATGTATAAAAAATTCAACAGAATACACATTTGCATTAATTTTGCATTTTGAAGTGTTTGTTTTATTTTAATTTTACTGCACTAAAAAAATGGTTGTTTGATATTTGAAGTTTTACTTCTATTTTGACTTTTTTGTATTGAGGTTCGAAATACCTTACTAACATGGTCACGGTGGAGACTGAATTTTCGTGACATTTTTGACATAACTAGAAATGAATAGGTGAATAGGTGTAGATTTTCCTAATTGGTGAAAAATTTATTAACCTACTAATTACTGCCGTATAATTTAAAAGCCATATATAAGTACTAGCAGACATAGCCACGCCTTACTGTGGCTCACATTTGAAAATCTTTACATTTACAATAAAAAAAAGGATATAATCGGGATAAAAACTACCCCATCTTTTAATTTGAAACAAATCACACACTTTGAAAAAAAATAACGTTATAGATCGGATAAGTATAAAGGAGTTCATCTCGGACCAACATCGTGACACGTGAATTCTATATAATAAGATGTAGCACAGAAAGAAAATTAATGTTACAAAAACATTTAAATCAGTCTACCATTTAAATTCATATGTGATTTTAAAGAAGTTTTCATCGCAAATACAGAATCAATTTTCCACGACAATTATAGGTGACTATGAGGACCACAGCAATAAATAAAACAAATATTTAGAGAATTTGTTTGCACAAATTCTCAAATTAAATTTAATTACATTTCGCTCGCCATGCTTCAACTGAGGAGTAGGTACAACGCTTTACAATCTTCTTATTCAAGTTTACTCTTCGTATTACACTGGATTTTTATTTAATTTACAACTTCTTTGAGAATCCATTCCAATATTTTTCATTTACTAATCTAATTTCAAACAATTTCACATTTTAAATTAAATTTACGCCATTATACTTCTTGAATTATTAAATACAGAGTATATAAGAAAATAAAATATTTGTTTGTAAAATATATTACATTTCATTTTCATTCGCATGTAATTATACTTCATAAAATATAAGTTTATTGACTCTGGGTCAGAAGAAAAAAGGTAGACTATAAAAGCAAGATTATCATTAATGCGTAATACGCTTTTAACCCTACAAAGGAGATGATATACATATATTTTTAAAACAATAATTTATTTTAAATAAAACTATCTTTTCGATTCATTCGCATCACACAAATGAATGCCCCCAGTGGGACTCAAACCCGCTACCGCTGGCACAGCAAGTGTTAAGTGTTACAACAAACTGAACCTAACGTGTTGACAAAGCTTGTAAAAACATTATCTAAGAGGAAAACCATTTCACATCATTCTATTTGTATTTACTTTACATCAATGTTTTATGCCGAAGCATAAAATAATGCAATATTCTTCTATTTCCAATTCTATTCACTAACAAAATGGTAAAGTAATTTACTTCATTAGCTATGCCTGCTCGTTGTACCGTTTCCATAGTAATTAATGTAGCATCGTAGCAACTTTCATCCTTTAAACAAGGTACCTATATTATATCAAACTATTCTTAGTAAGTCGTGGGCACGTAGCTGACAATTAATAGAACACACGACATGTTTGGCTCAGTTTGTAGTGATCCTACTTGCTGTGCCAGCGGTCGCGGGTTCGAGTCCCGCTGGGGGCATTCGTTTGTGTGATGAGCACGAATGTTTGTACTCCATTCATATGTGTTTATATTTATATATGTATTTATTTAAAGTTATATATGTGTAATGTATCAACGAGATATATAATCAGGCTCTCAGTTTAGTTATAATTAATTTTATGTCAAACCCTAATGAAATCAAACATAATATAATAATAATTCAGCCCCTGAAACACCCCACTGCTGGGCACAGGCCTCCCCCAGTGACAGTTGGATCAAATCATGACAATGAAAAATTCAAAAATTATTACATTTTTTTCTGAACGTCATAAGTGTACTACTAGGTACTTCAGACATCACTCGCCTTCCGAAAACTAGTTAGATTCTATCAAAATTGCAGGTTTCATCGCTACGTTTTCCTTCACCGTATTACCTTATCTAGATCATATTGTAAGTGATTCGTACATAAATAAGTTAGAAGAGCGATGCCCGGATTTGAACCCACTACTTTTGGTTTTTTACACAAGTATGATACCAAAGTTCAAAATTCTAACTAAATACATCGGCTTTAGATTTCAAAGTCAAGAATAAATCTCCGTTTTGCACATATAAAGTTACAGAATGTTGCGAATATTCATACGTATTTATTTGAATACAACTCAAAGCTTTCTCACAATACAATGGTATTTTGACAATATCAGTTCTAAATGCTTCTGTTGCGACCGCTGCAACCAGTCAAAACATATCTAATATATTTACACGAGCAATTCTTATATATATATATATATATATATATATATATATATATATATATATATATATATATATATATATATCGATCTAGATTAGTCTTGTCTGGAAAAACGCGGGTTTTTGAGTTTTCATGCGATTTTCTTTCGCATTATTCCACTCAAATTATGGTTGATAATTCGCACACTCGGATATAAGCATCGTAGTCAAGCGGCAAAGTCGCGAGATTGACACTCATAGGTCCGGGTTCGAAACCCAATGATAGATATGATATAACAAAAAAGAACTCCGAGCGAAGCTCGATCGCCCAGGTAGGTACTATTCAAGTAACAAAGTTATAAAAGTTTTAATGTTTTATTAATAAATTAATATTTAAAAAAACATTTCAATAAAAGCTTTTACAGCATATAATTTGTGTAAAGTAATAAATGGGTTTGATTTAATTTAAAGGTTATTTTTTATTTCATAGGTATTCGTATTATTATTATTTATATTCGTATTCTTCTCAGCAAATAATTCTCATGTCATGGGAGTCCGCAAAGTTGGATTTAGAGGTCACATATCTAACCAGAAGACAGACTTTTGTTTCTCATTGCAGACTTTTCTGTAGGCCTTTTTAAGACTTACAATTTTTTAGTACATTGCCAAATAACTCGCTGCAAGCGAAAGGATTTAACAGTCACATTAATTAGTTAATAATATACGAGCATGTAACTCCCACACATTTTCATTATGAATAGAAAATGTAGCGGCTCCGAAAGGAAGGCTTTGTTTGCGTTTGAATTTAACATTTCATTACAAAATTGGAACTAAGTTAAATCAGAAATATAATTTTATAACTCACTAGCACTGCCCGCGGCTCCGCCCGCGTTCACATAATCAAAAACCAAATTCTTAGGTTTTTTATATTAGTATACTCTTACATTGCAGTTTTTTTTCTCAGAAATGAGATATTTTCCCGCAGTAAAAAGTATCCTATATATTGACACGGATAACCAACTATCATCATACCAAATTTCATCAAAATCTGTCCAGTGGTTTTCTCATGATGCGGTAACAGACAGACAGACAGACAGACAAAAATTCTAAAAACTATAGATTCGGACTCTGTATCGATAATAAAGTCTATTTTAATTAGTTTTTCCACAAAATATTTAATGTACAGATTCGACTTTGTTACAATTTTATTATATGTATAGATGATATAATATATTATCAGACATTATCAAGTAAGCCCACAGATGTTAAATGTGAATAATCTATATTTAATATTTAGTATATGGTATTATTTAAACATATCTATATGTATATTTAACACTAGATCATTTACAATTTGTCATTTTGGACTGTAGGTTCAATACTCCATGCCAATGAATAAAATAAACCTCACTTTGATACCTTTAACCATCTTTTGTTAAATAAATTTGTCGTAATCTCATAGAACTATTTATTTTCGGTATTTTTTTTATTATTATATAAATGTATATATATATATATATATATATATATATATATATATATAAAATTGTTAATAATTTATCCTTGTTAATTGTCAATTACACTTATATTTATGTTTAATTGTGGAAACTTGATTGTCCGATACGCTATTTATTATGTTTCGTTTTTAATTGTATTATAATGAACTGTTTGTTTCCCAAATAAAATAAAATTAAAAAAATATTAAGTGAAAGCAGCGTTTGATTACTGGAAAATACAAAATCATATAGGTACTCCTATGTTGGGTTAGTTACATAAGTTTGATTATAATAATAATATTTTCTTCTCCATCTCTAAAGAGATCAGAATAATCTATCTATTATTAAAATAATAGATAATAATTATTTAAAATTGCAACATTATTCTGAATGTTACTCACCTGCAGTGAACTGCCAGAGAATATTCATCACAGACATCGCAAGTATCTTCTTTGAGTTAATCGATGTATGATTATTTTCACTTATATATTTCAATATACTGTCGAGTTCCTTTTGTATTTCCGCCATCATGCCTGATTTTCCAAAACCTACATTTTTCAAGTGCTTTACCGTAAACTGCCTGTGTTCTCTCCATAAGGCGCCATCAGCAGAAGTAATACCTAAAGTATTGCAATAAATATGAAATTTACGAGTTTTGCTCGTTATTCCGTAGTAGGAAATGTTTTTTTAGTGCTGCTTATTACATTTCATATATAATATACAGGTATTGGTGAATAGACTCTAATAACTCGACTTTTTAATTTTAATATTTGAAAATGACAAATTGCAAATATTTCATATACTTACATACAGCAAATTACGTACAGTATGGAACACTTACAGATTATAGATTCTTGTATAGTCTTTAAGTTCGTGAAAATAGGTAATAGTGACCATTAGCTTTATCGCGGTATTATCTAAGTACGAAGTAAGTGATCAAAAAGGACTCAATCTTTAAAAAGATAAGTCTTTTACCATAAAATATATCACAATCTTATGCCAAAGGGAAAAGTTAAAAGATAGTTTATAACTTGAGAGTATTATATAACATTTTAAACCCTTTTACTATATTCGAACATGATATTATCACATAACTAGCATTGCCCGCGGCTCCGCCTGCGTTCAAATGACCGAAAACCAAATTCTTAGGTTTTACATATTAGTATTATCTTACAATGCAGTTTTTGTATTTTTTCTCAGAAATGAGTTATTTTCCCGCGGTAAAAAGTATCCTATACGTTGACCCGGATAATCAGCTATCACCATAGCAAATTTCATCAAAATGCCTCCAGTGGTTTTTCCGTGATGCGGTAACAGACATACAGACAGACAGACAGAAAGACAGACAGACAGACAAAAATTCTAAAAACTATAGATTCGGTCTCGGTATCGATAATAATGTATATTTGAATAAGATTTTCCAAAAAATATTTAATGTACAGATTCGGCTTAGTTACAATTTTATTATATGTATAGATTACAAACGATTCAAATAAAAGCGAGAATATAATTACCCATCCTTTTCCCAAGGCAGCGCAACCGCAAAAAGAAACTATTCGGTCGCCCTTCAAATTCTTTCTCCATAAAAGCTCTTCTTACATTATTCTCGCCGTATACAACTACGATTGGTTCTGCTCCCAATTTTATGCCAAGTACTTTTGTCGAATATTCCTCGGCCAATTTTAAAAGACCCTTCCATTGAGATCCGTACTGTTTGGTCATTTTGTGAACAAGTGTACTGCACCCGAATATTGGATACCATTTGGGGCCTATGGAAAAATAATATGATTAGCAGTTTAAGTCATGTAAAGACAAACTTAATTATTAATTTGTTTTTTTTTTAAACATATTAAGCATATCTCAAACGTTTCGCAATATTATAAATATTGACAAATATGAAAATAATGATAAATTAAATTAAGAAGTTGTAAAGTTGGTGCAACTAGGTCCAAATATTTTTTTTTATATTTATCTATTTCATGACAGAGGTAACAAACACAAGGATTTGTTGGCCAGAACTCTTGGACTTTCCAAGGGTCTCCAATAGCGATTTGATATAGTTTTTTTAAATAAATGTAAACATGCAATATAAGCAATACGCACTTCAAAAATGATATTATTCAGATCAGTACTGTAAATTGATGCTCTTTTATGGCTATGGAGATCAAAAATTTTTCATTTACCAACAGTTACTATTATATGACACAGTCAACGAATGTGCTATTCCTGTACTCTATATTCCTTAAAGCCTTGGTGTAATTCCTGATAATGTTGACTTATAATTTAATTTTTTTTTCTCTTTCCATTTATTGTTTATACCGAGACATTTTAGAACTTTTCCAATATTTTAAAATATTTATTACCGACTAATCATAACCATAACACCTATACAATAACAATTAAATAAATATATAATTTTTGATGTGTTTATTGGTTGGTCGACCGAAATAAAATGCCCGGCCGCTGTTCGATATTGTGGTTTGTTTTTACTGCCCGCATTTATTACAAGCAATTCCAGTAAATAAACACTTTCTTGCAATCGATTCCTAACACCGTTGGTTTTGAACATTAGCTATGTAGAGTAAACAAAATAAAAACTTTTTAACAAAAAAATAAAAACCGACTTCAAACAAAAGCACTAAAAAGTAAAAAATAACTGATTGGTAGTTTTCATTTACTATACATACCTAATCAAATATTTTCGAAGTCGGTGTGCTTTGCTTTGTATGGGCTGGCACCGATTTCGAAAATATTTGATTAGGTATGTATTTAATAGGTACGCTTTAATTACTTAGCCAAAGCACACCGACTTCGAAAATATTTGATTAGGTATGTATAGTAAATAAAAACTACCAATCAGTTATTTTTTACTTTTTAGTGCTTTTTTTTGAAGTCGGTTTTTATTTTTTTGTTAAAAAGTTTTTATTTTTCCCTTTTTAGTGTAAACAGTAGTAGCATAGTAAGGATTCTAACGTGTTAGGCTTGTCAAATCAAACAAAATAAGCCCAAACTCAAAGTATCTACTATTAGCCGTTGAAGAGTTCCACCTATCCACCTTCTGGCCTGGCCATCAGATCAGGTCAACAACACCGAACCACTGTACTATCAACGGAAATAGAAATACTTGCAAAGTTTCAAGTCAATATGACAATTAGAAGTAGGTTAATTTCATCATTAGTTGTTTTTCCACCCTTAGGGGTGGTATTTTTTTTTTGAAATTTAAATGGGACCAATCTGGAAGTATACCCTTTCAAACAAAACAAAAATTGTCCAAATCGGTTAATAAATGACGGAGTTCTGAGGTAACAAACATAAAAAAAAACATACAGTCGAATTGAGAACCTCCTCCTTTTTGAGTCGGTTGATAATAACAATAATGTATTCAGCCCTTTTTAACGTTCCACTGCTGGGCACGGGCCTCCCTTTAATACGAGGGGGATCAGGCCTAGTCCACCACGCTGGCCAAGTGCGGATTGGCGGACTTCACGTGTCTTTTGAAAACCTGCTAGTTTCTCTCAGACATGTAGATTTCCTCGCGATGTTTTTCTTCACCGAATATAAATACAACAATAATATTTTAAAATATTTTATAAATTGTCTGTTTATTAGTATCATGAAATATTTCCATATACTATCATAAAATATTTTCAAACTACACTTGAGTACATATTTTGTATAGGTATTATGTGTATATTATTGAATATCATTACTAGTTTTCGTCCCCGACTTCGCTCACATTTTAGATATATTAAAATTGACACATATACTAAATACAAAAAAGAATATACAAAAAATCCTAGTAATAAACACATTAACTCACAAAGCCAGAAAAAAACAGTAAACCACATTGTATACCTCAGAAGTACTAATAATAAAATTATTTAGCTTAGAATAAAATTTTCTTTTTCTATAGAATTATTTTGATACTTTAGAAAAACAAAAACAAATCTATCCCACGGGAACCGTACATATTTCCGGGATTAAAAGTAGCCTAGGTCTTATTCTGATGTATGAGCTATATTATTGTAGTTTCGTTAAAATCCATTCAGTAGTTTTTGCGTCAAAAAGTAACAAACATCCATACATCTACACATACAGACATCCATACATTGTCACAAACTTTCGTATTTATAATATTAGAAGGATATGTTTAACATATGATAAAATATTTAAATATTATGTATTAACATAAATATGTTCTGACCGTACTTGTTACGAAATATAATTTAAAATCCTAACAGTTTTTATTAAAAGTTTGATATGGAATCGGCTTACGAACCTCGCGGTTGCAACAGCCCTAACTAAGGCCAGTTTTGAGAGCTAGAATGAATGTAATTAATCAGAGAAGTAAATAAATCGAAGTACAGTATATATTTTTTAGTAAATCATCTTCTTCTCCCTGCTCATTTCCTAAACATTTGGGGTCGGCGCAGTACATCTTCTGTACTCCTGATAGGATTTGGCAAAAGTTTTACGACCGGCCGCCTGCCTGACATCGACCCTCCTTGGGAATTTATATTTTTACTAAATATAAAAAAAATAGCATTCAATAGTGTTGATATAACAAAATTTTAGTTCGAAATTGAATGAAAAACAAATATTTATTTACTGGAAACTACGAGTCTATGCCGCACGTTAATAGGTCACGGCCAGTTACGTCATAGCTCGCCTTTGTCAAGGGCAAGGTCGCATAAGTTACATTAAAACTACACTTTCTCTTTACGCATAGACACTACATTTTTTTCTTGTTAGTGTTTTGTTAATGTTTCTATTACATATTATCAGCTAAATTCCGTATTACATAGTCAATAGGCAAAATATGGAACCGTTTTTACGCTATATTATAGTCTGTTCGCTTGGCTGCAGTATATTACAGCTATTTTATTTTGATATAATACACTGGCGTGCAAAAAAATCGAGCCACCTAGAGAAAATTGACAAACTTAAGATATGATACTTTTTTTGGTAATTTTGTTATTATATATGGGTAGCTGTATACCCTAGGTATCTAAATCAATAATCGTTGAATAATTTAAATAAAAATTATTGCTCGAAGATAGAGGAAAATCAAATTTAATGATTTTTCGCGAGTTTGGTCTAAAAATGTAAGCCGCAAATTAATGGGAAAATTAAATGGTTTTATGATTTTTAATAATGCGTATTACCGCCTCTATTTTTAATTACAGCTTTTAATCGGTTTTTCAGAGATTTGACACACTTTTTTAGATAATCTTGTGTAATAGACTCCCATTCTTCCAATAAGGCGCTTTTTAATTCTTTAATGTAGCTCGGGACTACTACGCGACTTCTAACTTTTCTTTTGAGATGGTCCCATAGATGCTCTATTGGAATGAGGTCAGAGCTTCGCGCTGGCCAGGCAATAGTAGACACTCCGACCTCTTGAAGATACTGTCTTACTGATGTAGCAGTGTGTGGGCGAGCATTATCTTGTAGAAGCAGAAAATCTTCTCCAATGAACCCAGTAAAAGGCATCACATGATCTTCTAAAACCTCCGTTATATACCTAGCGGCTGTAAGGGTTCCATTTCCTATGAATATAAGCTCGGTTTTCGCTTCGTAACAAAATCCTACCCAAAACATAACTGAGCCCCCTCCATATGACACTGTTTCCCGCATAGTGCATGGTGCATATCTTTCACCTGGTCACCGGTAAACAAATTAACGGCCGTCGATACCATGCAAACACATTCTGCTTTCGTCAGTAATAAGAACCTTCTTCCACTGTTCCTAATTCCAATTTACGTGATCTCGGGCAAAAAGTAATCTTGCAATTCGATGTGCAGGGGCGAGTTTGGGTCCAATTGCGGACTTGCGTGGCGTCAGGGAAGCGGCTCTAAGTCGACGCCTTACTGTCCACTCGCTAACTTTAACACCTCTCACTTATCTCAGGAGATTTCGAACGTCACCCCTGTGCGATGACGATTTCTTAGAGCTGATGACACAATAAATCGATCATCACGCTCTGATGTGGCTCTTCGTCGGCCGGAAACATGTCGTCGTACAAAGCCACCAGTCTCTATGTAATGTTTGTACACTCTCTGGACCGTAGAAAGACTCACAGAAAAAGCTTGAGCCACTTGACGTTGACTTTGTCCAGTTTCAAGCAAAGTCACAATTCGAGATGATTCAGCCTCGGTCAGATCCATCTTGCAGTATTTCTAATAATCGCAGATCAAAGTAGAAGTGTCTTGTTCAATAATTGGAACTCAACTGAGCTTCTATAATAACAAAAAACAGTATTTGTGGCTTCAATCCATATTATTTAAATATTCACTAATTACTTCTAATTGACTATAATTAAGCGCATACGTGCATTTCCAGGAATTTTATGACTTTTTTGAAGGAAACAAAGGCGTCTAATCTTCTTAATTACCTTTGCGGTATTTTTTTCACCAACCAATTGTCAACAAAAAATTATGCTTAAAATTAAGGGTGGTCCGATTTTTTTGCACGCCAGTGTACAAACCACTATAGAAAGTATAAGAAATAGAGGTAGCTGGTATCACTAAGTAATCCATACTTAATATTATAAATGTGAAAGTGTGTTTGTTTGTTTTTCTTTCACGTCGAAACGGAGTGACGGATTTGCGTGATTTTTTGTGTGAAGGTAGTTGGAAAGCTGGAGAGTCACATAGGTTACTTTTTGTCGCAGGAGGTTATAATACAACCCAAAAAATTATTTATGATCAGAATTATTTGAAACTTGGTATTAATGCGCTAATACAATTGAATAAATACGTATTTTAGA